CTCGATAAGATAATATCGATAGTAAGATTAGCCTTGGCAAAATAAATAAACAAATAAATAAATAAAAATATATTTGCTAAAAAAATAAAATAAGAAGGTAACAACTAACAATTTCCAAAATTTATAATCCATGTAATAATAAGAACATCAACGTGAACAAACTTTATGGAAAAAAATAAAATAAATAAAAGACGACTGTATTGTAATTTTCAACTAGTTATACCCCGTGCATTTGCACGGAAAATGACATAATAGAATAGAAAGTAAATAAAAATATAGAATAAAATAAAAAACATAACTTAATAAATGAGAAAAAAAATAATTTAAAAAGTGAATCTAAATATTATTAATCATTTTTATATACAGTGGCGGAGCCACCAGTATGGCGAGGCATGGCGGCCGCCATACCTGGCCTCCGGCGAACCCCCCCACCCCCCAGTTCTTTTTGTATTTTTTGATATTTTTTGTATTTTTTCTGAAAATAATAGAATTACTGTAAATATAATTCTGCCATTTTTGAATAATAAGAATTTGAGAAGGGTTAGAGAGAGAGAAAAGGAGGAAGATGGTGAGAAGAGAGAAAAAAGTAATTGTAACAGCTTACCTAATTTCCTTCAATCCCATGTGGGGTAAATATAATTTGTTTACAATTTTTCCTCACTCATTTCCCAACGTACCCTTGCTAGAAAATCTGAACATAATAAAAATGAAATGGGCTGAATTAACCCAAAATGCTAAAATGCAGAAACCCAACATATTACCTAACTCTAAGTAAAACCCAATATTTGAGTTTAAATAACAAAAGTCCTACAACCCAAATTAAATAACAAAAAATCTTTTTTTCTTGTCTTAACTTCAGCTTTTGGCCATAATCCTAATTCCCAATTGCTTCGTCTTCTTAACCTTCTGCGACCCACATTTCTGCTGCAATTTTGCTCAAGATCCCTTCTTTCATGGCCACGTCCTCATCTTTTTTCCGTTTTTCATCCTTCTCACCATGATCCTCCACTTTATCGATCGATCTGAATTCTCTCGACTCTATTTCTCTTGAACCGCTCTCGCCGACGCCGACGCCCGCCGGCAGTACTGCTCCATCCGCTCGCCGCTCGCCGACTCTCTTTCGCCATACGTAGATTTTAATCCTGGCTTCGCCACTGTTTATATACAACATTCGTGGTTTTCCTATCATCAAAATCCCCATCACAACAAATCATTTCGTTAAACTTCTTCGACTCGTGATTTTGGGATTCGAATTTTCAGAATATTTAATGTATTTTTAGAATATCTGGAAATATATTTTTTTATTATTGTATGATTGTAATATAAAATAAAGATAATTGTTCGTGTTATCATTTAACTATCCGGTTACATATTATTATAATAATTAAGTTATTCAAAACAATCAAGTTTAAAAAAATCAATATTATGATCTGATTTTTATTTTTATGTTTCAACTCATGTTATATTTGTTTTAGATTATTTTTTTTCCTAAATTAAAATGACTAATAATATTTGTATGTCGCAGGAACAACTTGTGGACATGGTTGAACATGTTTTATTTTGAGGAAGAATTTTATTTTTTAATAATGTTGTATCTTTTTAATACAAAAAATCAATATCTTTTTTTTTTTTTTTT